CTTTTTAACATAATCTTGAGTTACATTTCAGTAATAATGTAAGACAAGATTATTTAAAAAAAAAGCATCGCATGTAAGATACCTTACTATAAATATATCAACTCAAACTTGAAAATAGGAAAAAGCCTAAAAAAACACACCTTGCCTGGCGATTCTGGGAATAACATCATCAGCGAATGCTCGGTAGGTATTGACTTTTCCTTCAGGACTGCTGATACCAACATGAGCTTCATAAATACGAAGCGATGCCGGTCTCGATGGTCGAGGATGTTTGAATGTGAATTTTTGTGGGGGATTGTAGAATTGCTGTAAAGGAAAGAGATATGACTCGAAGTTATCCTGTCCGGCTATACACTAAGGTGTTACCGCTATTACTGATGTTGCAGCTATTACCCTTACCGGTGTTTACCGTTGTTACTTCTCGGTTACCAGACACTATGCAAGGATCCTGCGCGCAAAAATGAGACTATGTACAACTTTAATCACTCGAGCATTCAATACGCCAACGGAGTAACATACAAGGTAACTATAACGCCGGTAATACCGGTAACCGGTAACAACGGTAACGCGGTAACATCGTTGGTGTATAGTCAAATCTTAGGAGAAAAGTGCAACGGAGAATCGGCGACATGAACAACCACATAAGATCATTGATTACCTGATGGTAGACAACCGTTTCCTTTGGCCTTGTCACATATCTGGCCCATGGGCTAAGCTTGTCCATTGTGTTTCCATGTCGCGTAACAGCCACCTGAGAAAAAAAGTTGGTTAAGTTTCAAAAGTTTCATACCAACAAAATACCAAAAAACAACTGATAGATACCTTGACAATTGATCCATGCGGGATAGGACAAGAACCGTCAGGATTTGCTGGTATTTCGAGTTTCCATTTACCAAAATCTCCCCTCTTGTACTTATGGGATTCACGATTCCAGCCATCTGGAAAAGTTTTAAGGTTTTCTATAATAAGAGCTGGCGACTGATGTAGTGTTTTTGCTAAAACAACAAC